ACACTCCTAGTTATTTGTATTGTTGAATTCTGGGATAAAACTATCTGGCCCAGTGTACCTTTCTGTTAAAATTTTCCAAACTGGCATCTTCCTTATCTTAGACTGTCATAGCTTTTATGCTAAACACATAATAAGATAGGAATTAGAGGGTTCTTTTAATAATATAGTCCGACTAAGTAATTTTTTGTAACACAATCATAGTCCAAATAATTATGTTCACCCATAATTTCAACATAACCATTTCACACAATCATGAAAGTTGTCCATTCATGTATACATGGTCCACCTACAATAAATTCCATTCTTATTGATCTTAACAACTCAATGGCCCTCACATCAAAATCTGGAGAAGATATCATATATGGTATACCTACAACAAATTAATGCATCCTTTTAATTCTTTTACGTTCCCTGTTGTCATTGTTCAATCTTTGTGTTCCATTGCAGCTATTCAGATATACAAGCAGAAAGATTCTCTAACTCAAATAGCAGAACCAAAAGGTAAAATTTGGACCATTTTTTCCCTGACAGTTTTCATTTTTGTTCAGCTGAATTAATCTTGATTTGTTCTAATCACTTCAAATGACTATAATTGTTTTGGCTGAACACAAATTTCATTTTTCTTTTAGGTTTTTGATTTAAGGAGCTCCTGCTCATAAATCAAAGGTCAAGTCTTGTTTTCTGTTACATGGATGCTTCCAAGAGCGGAAACTAAAATTTCCAAAGTTGATTAATTCAATTCTGTCTTAATTAACTTGTGTTTTCTAGCTTGAGAGAGACCAGAGCAGGTAAGTCAACAAGTCAATGGTCTTCCATTTGTTTTAAGTTGACTTGAGCGTGTTCCACACTCCTAGTTATATGTATTGTTGAATTCTGAGATCAAACTATCTGGGCCAGCGTACCATTCTGTTAAAATTTTCCAAAGTGGCATCTTCCTTAGCTTAGACTGTCATACCTTTATAATTTATTTTATGCTAAACACATAATAAGATAGGAATTAGAGGGTTCTTTTATTAATATAGTCCAAATAAGTAATTTTTTGTAACACAATCATAGTCCAAATAATTACGTTCACCCATAATTTCAACATAACCATTTCACACAATCATGTTGCATTACTTCTCTGAAAATAAGAGAGTAAATCACCTTGAGGGGTTGTTTTAAGTTTCAGTATGCTTCTTCACAGTCGAGGACTCAACTTTTCTATTCTGTCTTGCTGGTGCAATGATAATAAAACATAACAAATCAAAGTCTGTTTGTGTGGTTTGCATCTTCTATTGTAAGGAGAGCTGACTGCAGCTTGCTATGAAACTAGATAGGACTACAATCTGAATTCTGATTTATGTGTGCTAAATTATAATTTGTGTGTTTTATTGTATCATTTTGGTGTTTAGCCTGTTTGATTCCAGCATTTAGTTTGTAAGGAATGAAGAACAAGCTAGTTGCAACAGAAATGAGACTGAAATCTGAATTCTGCAAGTTTAATGCTCTTATTCTTCTCGACATGTTTAGTTGATAGAATGGCTATTCCTTAATCAAATTATAAAATGAGATAAATTAGATAGAAATCATGCTAGTAATTTTATTTTATTTATTATTTTTTGTTAGGTTTTGGATTTAAGGGGCTTCTGCTTATAAATAAAATCAAAGGTCAATCTTCTTTTCTCTGTTGCATTCTCAATAACTTTAATTGGATGCTTCCAGGAAACAAGATTTCCAAAGTTGGTTAATTGACTTGTCTTTCCACCATAGGTAATTAAGTTAACAAGTCAGTAGTATTCCATTTCTTTCACTTGAGCGTGTTCCAACTTCCACACTCATTTTTTGCATGTATTGTTGAATTGTGAAGGTCCACCTTACCTTTTTGTTAAAATTCGTCAAGCTAGTATCTTCCTTTAATATTCACCCCACCCAACTCTAACTTAATGCCTTCATATTATTTCCTTTGATGTTCCCTGCAGTTATATGTAAGTAGAGCAGAATGGTTTTGAGAACTGAGCAGACACCACCACAAAAGTTTAAATTTCCTTGACACAATCTTCAGTTTGGTTGAGCTTCATCTTCATTTTGTTCTTTTCACTTTCAAAAATCATGCTTTTGGGTATAGGGTCCTTCTAATTAATTATCACAGGATGTCAAGTAAAAGATCGCTTAAATTATTTTTCACAAATGACATTATTTGGGCAACGAACGTTTAGTCTCTATGGTTTTATTTTCTTTGAAAAAATCCCAAATAGTTAGTCTTCGTGTTGATGAGATTTTCATACGTGCCAATTGCATTGCATGTTTAGTCTCAACCTTATCTTCGATGGAATTAGAAAATGAACCTCACATTTTCAAATGAACCAAATATTTAAATTTACTAAAATACCCTTTAAATTTAAATCACCTCAGCCTCACTTCCTAAATACTAATATGGATACTTTAAAGAAAAGCTAATATTAGATTAAGGGTGCATTCGGGATTTCGGTCGCGAACTTTACTTTTTCTTATAGTTATATAGTACTTTTAAATATGTGTATTTTTGGTAATTTTTTCAGATTATTTTTTTTTTAAAGTTATAGAAAACTACCGTAGATTTATAGTAATTTTGTATATAAAGATAGAAACCTCATTTTGAAGCTTTTTAATTGTAGTTTTTATGAAAAATACTTAATATTTAATATAATTATAAAATTACTCATTGAAAT